CTATGAAGTCATTGTGAAAACTGAGTATCGGGAACTGAGATATTCTAAGGAATAAAGAAAAACACAAAAAACCCAGACAGAAAAGCCCTCCAAGCCCCCCAAACTAGTGAAATCCTTGATAAAGGCTTCTCAGCTGAACTGAATCACTTTGTTACATCTATGAAGCACTTCCACAGTTCCTCATACTTTGCCTCCTGGGAAACAAGCCTGTCTGAGTGTATACCAAGACAGCAGCAGAAGTAGCCCAGATCCTGACTTATGAGTTCAAACACTGTTTTCTGAACTGATCTAGTCCTGCCAGGCTCGTAACTGTAGTTACTAACAAATCTGAAGATACTCTTCAAACTCTAGACAATCCATGAAAAGTGTTACAATATCAGAACATCTGTAAATGAGTTATCTGTCAAACTATCTCCACTCTGCTAAAATCCTACTTGATCCAGCAGCATTTCAACTTCCCTAGATATCCTGAAAAGAAGTGTTAGTCAGCTTTAAACTGAGACAAATAGGGAGAGTCCTTTACAATTACATGGCTGAGGTACCTTTAGTAACCTGTTCCTTTTACCTATCAAAATCCAAACACTGTGAAAAGCAGGTTTCATAAAAACATTTCCAGCTGGAGTTAGGTATGTTGTAACAACTCTTAATGAGCTATGCTAAGACTTAAGAACCACAAAGAAAACATAACTGTTGTACTCACAACAAATCTTCCTGAAGAGCAGCTGTACAAGAAGACTCTTCTCAAGAAGCCACCTAGCACATTCCCAGCACAATCAGTCGAGGAATACAAAAACCCCTCTGCCTCTTCTTACCCAGCAGTCCCCCTGCTACCTCACAGCGGCCACAGCAGTGCACACCTCCTTCGCAGGTGCAGGTGATTAGGCTCAGATCAGCCTTTGCACCTGGCAGAGGACGGACACAACTTGCTGTCCCAACTTGGCTGGGCTACAGGGTGCCAGGGAGGGTGCTGGGGCAAAGGCTGCTCTGTTACCCATTTGAGGGCTGGTAAATAAGCAGAGAATGTGATAAGCAGTTACTTTTTCAGAAGACAAATGTGTCTAAAAGAAATAAAGCCATTTTGCTGGCTTTTGGAGACCATTGCAAAAAAACCCCCAAATCAACCAACAAACAACCCTATAGTTCCTTAAGGAAATAACAAATGTACTGCTAAATAGTCTAAGAGATCTCATCCACTGTGCACACTATAAGTAGACTCAAGTGGTTTGACTCTGCTAATTACAAGTAGAAGAGTTTTACAGGAAGACTTAAAGGAAAAGGCCTGTGCTGGGGGAAGGATCGAAGTAACTTGTCGCTAAAAGGCAGCTTGCAAATGGAGGAATATGGCTGTCGCCAAAACCAGAGGTTTGGGGGCAGTGCTGGTAAAATGGGGACCAACAGCATCTAAAGACAGAGGAAACATAGATGTGGGAAGCTGAGTACTCAGCTGCTCTTTGTTGTTTGGTAATTGATTACTGATATGAATTTTCATATCACTTTTCAGGGATATTTTCTAATATTCAGAGGTCAACGGTTCTGAAGAAGAGAGACTCGTCTGAAGATCTAATAAGCATCCACATGCATAAGAGTAAATCTACGTTATTTGGAAGAATCATTGGAGAGCTAGGAAGAAAGAGGAAATGACATATTTAGTCCAAGATCTTGATTTGTAGATATTTTTTAACTACTTCCTTTTAATTTTTGCATTTTAATCCTCATTGATGTCACTTTACCTTGTGGAAGAAGGCCTATGAGCACCGTATCTCTGATTAACTTGGACTTGTGTTTTTGTTTTTTTTTTAAATTGCCTAGGAATTCAGTCTCCTTAATAAACTGCATGATTTATAAGCAGTTGCCTATTTTAATCTGTGTGTAGGATTGGTATTGTAGTAGACAAGATGTTTGGAAATTGCTGATATAAATGAGACAACCTGTGTTATTAATTGTGGTGAAATAAAAAGGGAGATGCAATTAATTACATATAAACCTGCAAGTGATAAAGTTCCTAAGGGAACTCCTACCTCAAGCAATTTCTTGTCTCTGAAAGTCTTGGAGCTCGATTCTATTTTATAACTTAGGTCTTGCTGGCTTTTATCTAGGTCTCAACAATTTGGCGTGAAACTTGATGAGATGATGATGTTTGCTATTGATTCAGTCACTATAAATTGAGGTCTTCTAGGCTGGCTGTGTTAAAAAATACAAGTGCTGTATGAGATGCGAGTAGATTTGCTATATAGGTGTAATTCAAAACGTTCCTGTAGTTAAAGACAGGATATTGCCTCCTCCTACTCTCCCCTGTAAACTTCATGGCAGAACTTGGGGGGAGCTAGATTTGGTTTTGCAGATATTATTCCTGGCTTACCGTTTCTCAGTCTGAGCATGTCAGAAGAAGAATAGGATGAACTTGTCTCACTGAGATTGCTTCATTGTCAGCTAACAGAGTAACAACAAAGTAAAGGCCTTGAGATTTTTGTCCCTTTCATCTTACAGGGATTCGGCAGCTAAACAACTGCTGACGAGCATGGGAAAACACCTCCTTGACTCTCCATGTGCTGCCATGAAGTCAAAGTTCATGGTGGTTCAGGAATATCTATTTGTAAGAATTTGTGCTCCAGGCTTGTTATACTTTGCATCGGACCAAACCAGTATTTGTTGGCTGTTACTCTTTCCAACCAATTTTAATTCAGATGCACTCGCTCTGAAGGAGTTTTAAAGAGAAGTTTTTAATGAGAAGCTGATGGATATCTTCCCATAATTAACAGCTCCTTGGATTGTTGTTTGTTTGTCTTGGCACTGGTACATTGGAAAAAGTTACTAAACTTCTATCTCGCACTGTATTCTGTTTATATCTTGATATGAGTGTATGCACTTTCTAGTCATCTCATCACTAGTTGTTTCCTGGGGTCCTCCTCTCAATTATTTTCTTTACACTTCACCCTCCCTTTGCTAGAGCCAAACTGCTTGTTGGCTTCTAGTTGCATACCGTTATTTTGTTTCTCTAATTCTTGAGTGTTTGCAGTACCTCTAATTAAGGCCTCCTGTGACAAAAACGAGCAGAAAGAACCAGGAAAGTTCATAATAATCACAGCCATAGCTCAGGGTCTTTCAAGAAAGTGACTGAGGCGCTACCAGCAGAAGACGAAATTTCTAGCCATTTTAATGAGTTTGTCTCTTTATCTTGACTATAATTAATTCTGAAAAACACAAGCCCAGGAAAATCTATGTGGAAAAATTAAGCGTTCTGCTCAGCAGCTTTTCTTAAGCACTAGTTTTCTTTGGCCTTTCCAACCACATCAGCCTAAACTCTGGTTGAGTATACATGAAACAAGGCTTCAGAATATGTAATTTATCTGACTTTTCTCCCAAAGCTTTAAAAAATACTTTATTTATTTATTAAAAAAAAATTATTTTCTTAGTAATCACAGAAAAATTCCAGTGATTCAATTAAAATCTTTAAAATTATGCAAATTTTCTTGAACCATAACTGGTTTTGAGCCCATTCACTATTTTTTATATACCTCCTTCAGAAAAGTGAAAGTAAGTGGCTTAATTATGATTTTTGTCTCTGAAGTGGTACTGAATAATATCCATTTCTCAGATGTTTAGAATACTTCCATGCATTATCAGAAAAAAATGCTTTCCTTGTTACTGCCAGCAAAATGAGATACAGCACAATTCCAAGGAAGTAACTTGATGACGGCATACCAACAGTTAAACAGAGACATGGGCAATCATTTGCACTGCTGAGGAATCACACGTGGTAAATTTGCCATTAGTTCAGGTTGTCACTTAACAAATAGTTCACAATCCAAAGAAGTACAACATCCGATAAAAACATGTTAATGATTAAGGTGCCATATCTTAACCCATTATCTCAGCCTCCAGAACTTCTGTCACTAAACCAACATGCTTTTGATGATACTATCACCACAGGCTACACCTATGTATTACTGAGTTGTGCTGCTGCAAGAAACACGTAGCAAATACGAAGCGATGAAAACAAAGCAGTGAGCATCTACTGTTTTGTTGTTTGAATGGATCAAACAGTATGGGATGTTTCTTCTGTGTGATATCTTCCTTTCTCTTCAAATCCCAGCCTGTTTCCCCACTGATGCCTAAGAGATGGTTTGTCATCAACTTCAGCAAGCACAACCTGCTACTTATAGCCAATCATCTATCTGTTTACAAACTTCTGTGCAGCCTACATGCTTACTTACGTGCATACATGTATGTATACATGCCTATATGTGTGTATATGGACTTGATAAGTATTTTTAATACTTTGGAAATTTTAAATATGTTCCACCAAATACAAAGTCTAGTAATCAGGGAAAAAAAAACTTTTCTCACATTTTATATGTACAGGTAAAATTACATTCTTATTAGCAATAGTAAACAGTTTATTCTTATTAACTGTTCTATACTGATATGTAAGTTAATTAATAATGGAAAGGATCTTTTAGAGCAATCAAATTTCTTTAAGTGCTCAAAGGATCTTTTCCTTTAAATATGAATTCAGTACTTTGGAAAAATATAAATATGTAAATATCAAGTACTGATATGCCTGGCAGTTCCAAAACTATTCCTTCCTCTACTGTAAGAAACAATGATGTGGCAGAAAATACATCACTGAAACCAGCTGACTTCAAGCCAATTCTCATATAAAAAACCCAAATGTTTCTGAAACACAAGTCATTACTGATTAAATAGCTGTAAGAGGAGAGTGCATGGCAGGACAGTTGTGAAAGCCAGTGTAACACTAATGAGAACATGTTGATTTTTGTCAGCTGGGCCAGCATCTACTGCACGGGAGTTGGAAACCACCAATAAATAAGGAGCATCATTCTCCAACACTACTTACGGTTCCAGGTGAAGTCACTAAAATGCAGCAATCTGTTATGCTGGGTTATTACAATGTAACATCTGAGACACTTTGAAGAGTCTGGCATAGCATCAATTACCTTAATAGTTCAGTGAAGCTTTAAGGTGAATGGTGGCTTCCATCATTTACAAGATGGTGAAGTTACTTGGTCAATGAGGTCAGAAAAGTACCTGCAAACACGTTCTGCTGTAGAGAAGAGCTCCTGTTGCAGAGCAGACTGTTGAGCTGAAAAGTAGAACAGATTTTAAGTCTTTCAGAACATTTGGATGCTGCTAGAGCCCTGAAAAAATCCTTATATATCTCTAATCTAAGATAACTATAGAAACAGCAGCTTTTTCTGTCACTCTCCTCGTTTTCAAAACTGAGACATCCTGAGGGCTGAACAAAGCTCTGCTGTGTAAGACCATTGATTATAAAGGGATTTTGTACTGCTCGAAGTCTGCCTGGGCCTAGAATCGTAGTTACAGTGTCACAGAAATGGCAACAGAAAAGACCTCCAATGCCCCCACCAGTCTAAGTTTGCTCCTTAATTGACTGCTGAGACTGATTTCCTCTTATGCACTTTGACTCATCCTGCTTCACACTATTTCAGCATTAGGGGTTATATTTCACATTATAGGAATATGTTCTACTTTACGGTAGAGAGGTTGAGTATTTCTACAATGGCAAAGGCAAGATTCTGAGTTTCCTCTGAGGGTTAAATGGTTATGAACAATATTATACAGTAAAATGGATGAAGGTGAGAAGACAGCATCAGGATCACTGGGAGGACTTTTACCTGGTTGGGCTTGGAGAGACAACGCATCCTTCAGTTTGATCACTAGCTGCTGCAGTTCCACCTCCTCACTGACTTCCTTCTCACCAGGTGGCATCTGTGCTGCAGTTAGAGTAAGATCTGTATTCCTCATGATGCCATCAAGAGAGTTTTCTGTCAATTCAGGGAGACAAGTCTGAGTCTCTTTTTTATACTGTCCCATGAAAGGTCTGTTGCTCTGCAGAGACACTGACTCCAGTGAGTCTTCTGAGAACATAAAGTCCATGGCAGTGGGAACCTCAGCTGTTTGTAAAAGCTGCACTCTGTTTGCAGAGTTGGGGGGATTCAAAGATTTCCAGTCTGCACATGTTCTGGAAGTAGGCCTTGTTTGGGCAGGACACTGTGCAAAAGGATGCTCTGATGACTGTAACACTGCCTACAATAGACAAAATACAGAGATTGCATTGTGAAAATAATTGATATTTTGGTTTGCTGGTAGTAGAAAAATAATTTGGGGTCAGAGTATTTTACTTGTTTTTGGTTTAATTTCTGGTGAAATAAACCAATTCTTTTAACAAATAAAATATTTTCCTGCAATAAAATAAAGCTTTGTGTTTGGTTTTGGACAAATCTGTGTGGCTGGTTTTTCTTCCATCATTTCAGTCTGAAGAGATTATATGTTCTAATGCTATTGAAAAATTGAAATAATAATAATGCTCCAAGAGTAAATTTGGAGGGAAACTATTCTGAAAGAATTAAACTGAGGAAACAATATAGTGTATATTAAACACATATCAAACACCTCACAGCTGTTAATATTTGAAATTCCGAAACTAGGTTGGTTGTCAGTGCCACGATTGTACTTGGAATTTCCTAGACAGAACTATGATGGCAAATACCATCTACTGCATGGACACCAAGACTGGTGTAACTGGGGTGCACGGAGCTGGCTGTGCATTCACTGGACACCGGACTGTGTGTGTGCACACAGTTCGGCGTGTTGTGGACAGGCCAGTGCCACAGCACACCCACAGGGTGCTATGACATGCTAGATCCTAAATGTAAAGCGAAACAAGTGTGTGCTGCAGATGTGTCTGGCTTTTCTCTGTGTTTGACCATCCCCGAAAAGCCAGCATTGCAGAAAATATTACCAAAATGCTGTAGGTGGCAAATATGTATGCATTCCCTGTGAAATAACGGCCTTTTTAGAACCTCAGAGATACTATAAATGGAGTCAATACAACTGAAAAGAATTAAGGATTTTCTATAAGAGGTCTCTATTACATCCTAGACAAAACAGTAATTAGGAATGAAGAATATTTTATTTATTCAATGCCAACACAGGATTCTCCTCTAAAGAAAAGACTGCAATGAAGTATCTAACACTTCTGTTGGAAACCATTTTCTCACTTTTATTGGAATTCCCTCTCATTATTGCAGTAGTATCTAAACATCCCAGACACAAGTATTTGTGCTAGATGCTAAATATATACAGAATGACAAGAAAATCCCTGCTGCAAATACCCTATCTGCTTTCTCTAAAGACAAGAACCTAAGACGTCTGAGGAGACAAGCAGAAGGTGCACAGTATCAAGGTGCACAGTATCAAGAGTGCTAGCCTGCAAGAAAAGGACTAATTAGTGTTTGGTAATTGCCCATAGACATGAAGATTCTTGGTATAATTATCACTATACCTTTATTTCTTTCTTCATTTGCTGCAGCTTCATTTGCAGGTTTTCATGGCTTGCTGTCAGGCTTTGGAGCTTTGCTTCTATTTTCCAGCTTTTGTCTCTCTGGCAGTTGTGAAGAATTTGCATTTTGTTCTTCCATTTGTTGAATTGCTTCTTCAAGTATCTGTACAGTAGGTAGGCATTTTGCTAGGTCACATACACAAATACTTGCAGTCATGGAAAAGAGCAAACACTAGCACAAACTTTCAGTTCAGAAAAATTTTGTCAGCTTCGGGGTTAGAGCCCAGTATTTCAGGAAGTGGGCTGTATCCATGGAATTAGCAGTGTTCTAGATGAGGAAAGATGCAAGGTGAGTGGAACTGTGTCCAGGACTGAGCCTTGCATCTTGGGGTTTTACCTTTCCCACAAAGGTGGCTGCAACAGGAGAGACTTTAAAGCACTCCCTATATTTAAAAGTAAATTACTTCTGGCAAATCCCAAGCCAAAAGATTCCCATCATTTCCTCCTGTGCAACAAAGGAATAAAAACCTTTAACCCTTTGACTGACTTCCTTCTTGCTCCTGGTATTCTATGCAGGTTGTTGGATGGTACCAATAGTTTCTGCACATGCCACGTCCTCGAAAAGCTGCGGTGAATTTTGGAATAAGAAGTGCCACCCTTTCATGCATACAAGAGAAGATTTAGGAATTACCTACTCAGAGCCCAGTATTACAAAAATACCACCCATATCTCTGCTCTAGAGTTGGGATTTCTCTAAGAAATCATATTAGGAATACTCCACGGCTTCCCCACAGCTGAGGTGGAGACAGAAAAGTTTGTTAACACTACAGTAATAAACCAACTACTTCATATCACACAGCTGAAATAGTTACCTCCCTTGCTTAGTTACATCCAGAAGTTCATCTGATTCACTCTCTTTTGGGTATGCATTGGATTACAGACAAAACCCCCACCAGTTTCACTGTAATTATGCAAGATTTGTCTGAATGGGAGAGCAAGTCAGACCATTTAAAATTAAAATTAATATTGCAGTGGTCCCTTATAACAGCATTTAATGAATCTTTACTGTAAAATGCTGACTACCTCCAACAAACTCAGAGCCTGGTTCTGTGAACAGGCACACAAATGGTGTAAGTTTGTCCATAAATAAGAACAAAGTGCTTCCCATGAGTAAATTGAATGTGATTCATTCACCCAGTTATATGGCAAACTCTGGGTCAGAGGGTGATGCAGTATGTTAGGAGCAGGCTTTCCAGATACCCTCTCAATTATTGCTAATCTAAACGAAAGCTGAAGATCTTTGCTTCTTTATTATCCCGTGTGACAACAGAGAGTGAGATAAGGACACAGGCTTAGAATGAAACTGCGCTTGTTCTGCTCTAGGCTTGGAGTGCCCTTGTGTGAATTTGGAGCAGCAATTGTACATTGACTTATTAGAATGAAACAAAACAGGAAGCGAGGGAACTAAACATACTAAAGCAAATAGAGTAGATTCAGGATCAAATTCTATGCTTTGCTGTAATACCATTGGTTTCAATGGTCACAGACATGATTATATCTGCAACACATTCATATATAAACAAAGAAGAGGAAAGCAAAAGTAAAAGAAAAAGGTAAGCATAGTTGTACATATGTCAACACCCTCCAACAAACCACTCAAGAAATTTATGGTTTGGCAATTAATATTTCATCATGTCAAAGGTTTGAAAATCAGAAGGAACCTCTGTGATAATCTAAGTAATGGAATTTTTACCCATACTTACTGTATTAAGCCTGTAATTTAGATTGGACTTAGAGCATGTTTTTTAGAAAGATATCCTCCTTTGACTTAAAAACTTGGTGTGAATTATGACATAGGTTTTGATTAAGCCTTATTCAGAGAAAATTTGGAAAAGTATGCTATTGTGAATATTTTTATATGAATATTTTTTCTTACCAAACTTACTTTTAGAAATGTAAACTAACAATGCCAGAAATGCTGATGGAAGCAAACCAAAATGTTTTGCTTTGCCAGAAATTGATTTTCCAGTGATTTCCATTTACAACTTTTGTTGCTGAATTTTTATTGTTAATCCCTATTTTATAGTTTGAGGGTTTTTTAAATCTCAAAATCTCTAAAGTATGGAAAAATCATTTGTCTTCTAGCTCTTCACTGGAGCACCATTGCCCACCAACCTTCAGCCAGTATACTACTACATTTACCTACCTGCTCTCATGCTGTATGCTTTCAATGGATTTGTGCATTTTTAACACATCTGCTTCAAAAGAAGCTATTGCCTATGGTAAAAAAGAGAAAAGTTTCTGTTCATAATGTCGTCAGCACTAATTTTTCATTTTCTGTCCAAATTTTGGTATAAGAGGGCATAGCACATTTGGGATTTGGTTTGTTTTACAGATTTACTGATTAACTTTTTTATTTGTTGGCAATCAACCGATGCACTAAAGTATTTCTAATGGCTATTAGAACAGACTGGAAAATTTACCCTGCAGACAAAATTCTTTTTCCTATGACAAATTCTAAGTGTATGAGGATTTGTTTTGTTTTAAATTAGAACAAAAAACTCATTACCTGGAATATCTGCAAAAATTAATTATTCTGATTTGGGGACAGTCTCTCCAAAGTCCCACAACTGCCTTGGGACAATGAGACGGAAGAAGAGGCTGGATGTAGAAGAGATAAGAGAAACTCCTGGTCTTTGGGTGGAAGTAGCAGTCTCTGGGCCATGCAGGAGACAGTTACCCAGAAGTCAAGGAGACAAATATTTTCCAGGCAAGCTGCTTTAGACACATGGTATAAGCTGGGCTGGAATCAGGTATTCCATGAAATTATGAGACTAAGAGCTGGATCCTCAGGACTTCCAAGCTCGTGGATTCTATTAAAAGCTACCACTGGACGTATGGTCTGCATTTTTTAAACCAACATTGGAACTAATCTGCACTGTAATACACTGGAAATCAGATAAAACCTTTCAAAAAGAATTCTCACCCCAGAGAGAAAATGAGCAAGAGAGTAATGCATATGACAGAATCTCACTACGGGGATACACATCCCGTGTTGCTGTATTCTAAAATGACAAATGCCAGTCATCAAAATTACGTACTTAAGCAAAGTCTGCCCACAACTTCTCCTGCAGAAATATGCTGGCTGACACTATACCTCAAGCTAGGCAGCAGACTCCTAAAAGACAAGTCTTTCAATGGGCAAGCATAACAGGCAAATGAGTGACCTGACACGTACATGTTAGTTCTCAGAGACTGCACCCTTGGCTTCTGGGAAGAACAAGATGAGTGGATGACATAAACTGGTTTGAACACAACCCAACGTTCCCTATATTCCGGGTATGTACAGAGCTACCAACCTCTCAAATAAATATAGAAACAAAAACCTGCTATGTACTTATTTTTATCTACACTGTCCTACCCACTCCTCTAGCATTGTTTCTGTGCAGGGAACCTGGAAATGGATTAGTGGAGAGCTTTTATACATGAGCTATTTTAGTTGGAGTAGACACTACTCTGGGTTTACCCTTAAGAAGGGCCCATTCTGTCCTCTTGCTATTGCCATGGTGACAAAAATGTCCTGAGCCTAGTAAGAATTAAAGTATCCTTCCTCAACATTTGCTTGCAGTAAGAAAAGATGCTGGCATTTTTTACTGACAGATTAGAGTACTCCAGTCTTAGTTAGTCTTTAATGTGTTACTCTAAGACAACTTGGAAAAAAAGTAAAAGAGCAAGTATTCTTACAAATGCTTCTCAAGGCTGTAGAAGTCAAGGAGTTAGTCACTACTCTTAAGAGAGTATCAAATTCGAGCTTCACTAAGTTTTCATATTCCACAATGTTTTCCACAAGTGAAAAATTAACAGAAAGGTGAAGGTGCCCATTACATTTCTTTCTCACCGGTAATTACAAGGCAATTGAGATGGTTAACTTGTAGAACTTCTTCACAGTTTTAGCAGTATTACAGCTTCTTTTTTTTTTTTTACCTGAGCTTTTATCTGGCTTTGTTCTGCTGTCTTGCTGTTATTCTCACTCTTCTGCACTATAGTTCTGTTTTCAGGTAAGAACTTGGGTGACTCCAGAACAGGTCTATCCACTGGGAAAAACTGGTTTCCATGGCCAGGTAGTGGTGAAGTACTGTATACCAACAGAGAAACAATGAGTAGAGAAAGAATCAAGGCTTATATGGTTTTGGTATCAAAATAAAACTAATGCATTCTAAGTAGTCAGCCAGCCATGCTTTTTTTGACTATGCAAGAAGTATGGTTTAGCTCTACCTGCTGGAATATTTTGGCTGAAATAATGAAATTCCTGAAAACAAAATCCACTCTTTCAACAGAATCTCAACAGCAGGTTTTCTTTCCACCCATTTAATATCAGTGCAATTTGCTGCTTCTCTTTTTTGCTTCCTTTAGCCAAGAGCTAAACATATTGGGAAATTCAACTAAAAAAAAAAAAAGATAGCAAAGGGATAGATATCCTGCTTTTCAGTCCCTTCTATGCTAGGAAAAGCCCAGATACCTATCGGCCCTGCAGACAAACCCGTAATGGCAAGCCCAAATTCCTCTTCTCTCATTGATACCCAACCATTAGGTAAGCAAAAGCCCACAGAATTACAGAGAAATGTCACAGAAGAATTAAATGACATTCAAAAGAAATATTTTTTAGTGCTGAATACAAGTGGGGAAATATTAGCAACGGAAAATGTTCTGCATTTCACTGAAGTTTACACTTAAATAGAGAGGAGTTACCATCTTTCCCTATTTCAGTCTCACTGAAGCCTCATTTGGAGAAATAGATGTGAGATACAAGAGAGTTGCCAGGAAAGAATCTCACCCTTCATATGTTTGTAGTGCTTATTTTGTATAATATTTCCATTCATTTTCTCCACCTAAATATTAACCAAAATCTCAGAGCAAGGAAGGAGAAGCTATAGGCAAAATCACAACACAGCCTCCGATGCTCTTTATTAACTGCTGTGATCAGGGGAAATATAGTAATGAATTTACATGTTAACGTTAACTAAAAGCACAAACCAGAACAGATCTGAAAGAACTAGAACAGTGAGATCAGCTACTTACTGTTGTGAGTAATCCCACAGGACGGCAGTCCAGTGGGATTTGAGTAGAGTGACTGTCACTGAACACACTGTGCGGATCGCATGTGGAAAGCATTCACAGTTAATTTCCAATTAATTTGTCACCCCATGCAGTTGTGACTGATACTAAATATTTCCAATGCTTGACCCTAGACTAGAGCATAAGAAATGGTACGGAGAGAAAGAGATGGCATAAGGAAAAGAGGGAAGGAAGACACAAGCATATTATATTTTATAAGACAACTGGTCATTAGGTTGTCAGCGTCTGTTAAGCTACAGAGCAACTTCCCATTTATGCTTTCCCTTTTCAGTGGAAGAATCATGGCATTGTGTCTGTCAACAAAATCACTTACTCAAAGGATATACTCAAGCAATATGTCACAGTCTAACATATTATTCACAGATTACAAACTCACTGGAAACACAAACTCACAAAGTCATTTCATGAGTGGGGAAGTGCCTCTCCCCCATTATCTTCAGAGCCCTTCTCTGAGTCTCCTTTCTTCTGCAGCGCTCTTGAAACAGGTTATTCCTGATGGTGCGGAAAAAGTGCTTTGCATTCGCCTTTGCTGACATCTATTGGAATGACAGATAATGAAGAAGGGGGTAAACTTTCCGATAGATGCTGCCCAGAAGTAGACACAGTCTAAGGAGGAGGCAAGACATAAGAAAGGAAAGGTCCACCTATTCAACAACTGAAGAGACTTGTGGCTGGTGTCTGAACCCTCAAAGGGGGCCTGAGGGTGATGACGGTGCTAGGTAAACAGAATTCTGTCAGGTAAGTAAAAATCGAATTCTGTTATGTAAGCAAAACACTCTGCCTGGGCCAAATTCAGGCAGCATGAAAATGCAATACACAGATTTTGGCAGTTAAAATGATTAAGCTCACAGTTGCAATGATTATTCTGCCTGACCCATATCTAAGTCCTCTTGATCAGTGGGAAGAAGTATTTTTACACTTGCGTTAAGTGTTAATAGTTACAGCCTTCTGTGCCTCCTATCCTCCTCTCATAAAAAACACACCTCCATTTGTCACAGCGGGGTCAGGTTCAGGTATGGTGACTCAGCTCAGCAGCTGTATTATAGGAAGACACAGGACAATTCTGCTGTAGGAACAGACTGTTGCAGAACATGGGGTGAGCTCTGACAGACTGAACGGGAAAACACGAAGAAAACACACAGCATGCCTCCTAGTCGTTTCTCAACATGGTAATAATATTACCACAAGGTGTCAGCACGGTAAGGAAACAGTGCTGGTATTTCAAATCTCCACTCAGCAGCCCCACTCCCTGATAAAGGCCATGTGAACTTACTGAGCAAAGGACAGCACTTAAGAATGGAAGGTATGGGAAAAGTGGCTTACTACTGACTCTTTCATGTCCTCAAATGATATAAAAATGGTAACTGTCATAGTGAATAACTTATCTTTTTAATTTTGGTATAGATTTTGGCCATGGAAGTAATCTTACAATGTTAGTGTTAGAGTAGGGCTTTGTGAAGGAAACCTAAGTTCAGTGATCCAGTTGCAACACTGCAGCAACAACGTGGGAAAGCTCAATGTCAGACAGTATAGGATAGGAAGGGGACTTCATTTTAAGACAAAACTGATTTCACTCACTCATACTCATTCACAAGCACTAACATACCTGTGTCTGAGTAGTCTTTCAAGCATTCACAGACAGGTATATGTACACATGTGGTATGGCCAGGGTGACTTACAGTGATGGGGAAGACATGCCACTTCTCCTTAAGTCTCCTGAGTGCCTCTTAGTGTGACCTTGGGCTGGTTTTCAAAAGTGCCTTTAGCTTCTTTAGGAACTGGTAGTGATTGTGATCTTTGGTCTCCTTATTTGAGTGTCTTATAGTACGGGTTTTGCTCTTTACATTCACCTCATCATCTCTTGTAATTGCATCTTCAAATGGCAGCTTGTCCTTTGTTTCAGGCTACCTTCTGTTTCCCCAGTTTGATTCTCCTGAGAAGCCATGTGTGGAAGTGCTGTGATCTTGCTAACCAGCTAATCTAGGTTGCATCATCTCCTGCCTTGCAGATACTTAAGCATCCAGATATAGTTTCTCACAGTGTAAGCAATAGGGTTCGGTTTTCAGAAAGAGAGCAACGAAGTGGCTACAGTTTATTGTTCCCCCAGACAAAGAGGGACTGCAAGAGCAGTCTAATATTCTTCAGTTTTGGTGCAGATGCTGGCTACCCAGATATCTTTCATGTTAAGTGCGGGGTTTCAGGAAGGAGACCACGAAGCACAGCTTACTAATGAGACATTATGAGTGCTTTTCAGCTCCTTTATTGGAATAGAAGAGGATGATGTTATATAGATCCACAAAAAAACCCTATCTGCTGCTCTGTGCAAGATTTGGAATCTCTTGCTCAAAGGAGAAGATGATCTGCCAAACACAAATTCCCAGTGTTGAGTTTTGCTGAAAGCTAAGTGGCCCCTCTAATGGAGCTCAAGTATGTGAGCTTAGTTGGGCTCATGTTGCCTCTCTGTGCTGTGTCCCTAACTGACAGAGACAACTCAGTCCAAAAGGTTTAAAATAAAGTGTAAAAGTTCTGAAATAAAGGTGATTTTATGCAGGTGTTTGTATAACTGTAGGATGAATTAATTTCTGAACGAGTCCGCACTGGGACTTGGAGGAAGGAGCACTGGGACATACTGAGGGCCCTTTCCACCAGTTTAAGGATGATGTGCAAATGGCAAACTCGCCAGAGAACTCCTTGGGAAGAGTGGCACTATGACATTTCATGGCTCTACACAGTTATTTCAAATAAAACACTACTTCTAAAGTTAGAAGCTATTTTTTTCCTTTCTCTGATTCACTGTTCCCAGACTAATAATGTTAATATGTCATGGCCATTATGGCTAAGACACACATAATTTCATAATCAATGTAGTTCAAGAGTCTGCTGCCTACTTGCCTACATGAAGAACCTGAACAGGGCAATGAATCAGTATGACAAGACTCTACCTGCACACAGTGTTCCACAACAGGATGTGACCTCTTATGTGGTTTGATGAGACAGCCAGTGAAAAAGCAGACTTGACAAAGGTCAAAATTGAGGCACTTCAGACAGCGATACCTGTGAGGGAAAATAGAATAACTAAGTTACTTCTCCACTAGTAAGAATCTGGTGTTAAGTGGGCTTGACTATTGGAAATCCAGATTCCTGGGTTCTGAAGGGTAGTGAAGCACCTTTGTTAGAATAATGACTTTCCTCAGCGTTCTCTGAAAGCAAGAATTATTTTGTCCAAATGACAGTGGACTATTCTTCCAGAACCCACTAATGATTTTGATATTATTTATTTGTTGCAGCAAAATTCAGTCCAAGGAAGAAACCGCTGTTCTAGCACCATTTTTAAGAATGCAGTTTCATCTTCATATGCTTCTAATGCACCAGCTTATCTCTATTCGCTGCTCTCAGGGAACTGTAATATCACTATGTTATTTATGTAGGATTTACACCTTTGCAAAAAACTAAACCTGCAGGCTTACTATTAGTGAGAAGAGAGTAACAGTAAAACATTTTTCTGAGCATTCTGGTCAGTAGATAATGGTCATTTTATATCAGTATTTAGATGGATAACTTAAATAGCCTGTTAATTATAGGACAAAGAACTAAGAAAAAAGATACACAGGTTTAATTTGCTTTACCACTGAACTGCCAGTTTACTTTCAGTAAGTCTCCATAATCATGTCTGTGCTAGTGAACTAAAGAGAATCAGGATGTAGGCTTGAGCACTAGCTTGTGATGGTTCTCTCTTTCC